TATTTAAGACAATTTTCATAATTTTATTTAGAAGGGTTTCTAATCCTATACCTGTGAAAGGTTAATCCTAACTTTTGATTTTTTTTATCTAATCTCTTTTTTTTTTTGATAATAATAGACGCTAATAATTATACACACAAAAGTTAAAAACTAAAACGCGCCTTTCATAGATGATAAAAAAATACAGAGAGGAAAGAAAATGTGTCTTAACATAGTACGAATAATTAGGTACAGATGAAGAATGTGATGCTGGCACAGAAGAAGATTGATGTAATTATGTTGAAGATAAAGCAGAAGTAGCATTAGTATCTGTTGCTTTAGCTTTTGGTCTGGTAACCACTGTACCAATTAATTTAATTGAAGAAGAATATTTATCTTCTTTAAATCCAAATCAATATCAAGTTGTTCTTCATGATGTGAAATAGGATATTATGAAAGATAATATGGTAAACAATTATATCTTCCTTTCACATGTATAATTTGTTCAATGCGTTTATTGGACACCTTTTTATCCATCATATGAGGGAGAGAACAATTGTCAATGTAAATAACGATACTTCTGCCAAGTAAAAAAGATTTCATTCGAATAATACATTTAAATATAGTCAATGCTTCAAGTTCACTAAGATGATAACGTTGTTGAGAAGAAGATAATAATTCGGAACGATAATAAAATATTTTTCTAACACCATTTATTTCTTGATAGAGAACACCACCTAGAGTGTGAGTGTAAATCTTCTATATATTCCCATCCATATCACCACATACCTTGTTGTGGAAAAGCTATGATGAAATTTTCAGCCCGATATCATGACGTTTGAGGAAGATATTGGCCAAACAAGTGTCAACAATAGCGAATTTGACAACCCAAATTTCTCAGTCCAGGCCTATGTGATATATTTAAATTTTTTTTTTGTTTGGAAAAACATGCCAGAATGCAGGGCATCACAGAGTTTTTTTTTTCAAATTCTTACTTTTTAAGCGGAAAGAAGTAATCATAAGTTCAACGACTGAGAAAATGGCGGTTTTTCTATAGAGCTGTTTTCTTATAGTATTATAAAAAAAGTTTATTTAAAAAAAACGAATTCTGTGGTGCCCTGCGTCTTGACATGCTCTTTCCAACAAAAAAAATTTAAATACATCATATGGACTTGAACTGAGAAATTTGGGTTGCGCGTTCGACATATCGTGAACTGAGAAAAAATGAAAAAGATTTTCGGTTTTCTCAAAGGGTACCTAGTAAAAACTTTTGTCTTTTATGAGAAATCAGATAACGGGCTATCTTTTCCTACATTTATCTTAATTTTGATCATTCTGACGAAAAGTGACGTTTTTTGAGGGGAAATGACCTTAAAATAGTATTTACCCTAGAAATTCTTGTTGCACTTAATCTAAATAATACAAAAATTATTTTATATAAAGAAATACATATTGTTTATTATACTGTTGAGCTAGGTCTAAATAAGAGAAAATTATGTTATATAAAATAATACGTACTATTCATTATGCCGTTGGGATGAATCTAAATAAAAAAGTTATTTTATATAAAGAGTATATTTACTGTTTGTACGGGCTAGTATTTTCGATTTAAAAGAGCTGAGTATCAAGTAGAGCCCTGTATCAGACTCTGAAACCCGACTCTGACTTCGCCGGAGTCAGATTTTGGAGCCTTAGACAGGACTCTAATTGGAACCTCAAATTAATGAAAAAAAAAGACAGTTAAAAGAAAGAGTGAAGTGTATTTCAATCTCAACAAAGCGCTCCATAGAACCATTCTGATGCAGTCCAGTTAGTAATAATAGATAAATACGATCAAAATTCATCAGGTATATATTATTAGAAAATGTCTACTGATGATTTTAAGGCACTTTTTTGCTACGATAGACAACTGTGTGAAAACGATGGTTGTTTACGGACTGTTCTATACTACATGGGGAGTCTTAATAATATGAATAAATGTAACGAAAATAAAATTTATTTAAAGTGTATTGATATCATTCGATCTAATAAAAGAAACACATTTTTATGATATACATAATGAAAGATAAACAAAAATGAAAATAATAAATATGAATTATGTATATTCAATGATACATTTCAATTTTCAATGTTTTAAACAATACAATGAGAATAAAACTGATATATATTAAATATATTTTTGGAATAAAAACTACAATGTGAAAAAATGTCAATATTAATAAATAATAAACTAGTTTTCTTATATAAGTTTTATTTTATTGGATTAGTATAAAACGAAAATCTTATTCCATTATATAACTAAATTTTATTTTGATTCAAGTTTTTTTTCGAGTTTATGAATATACTCTTTTATTTCAATTACATTTGGATGTTGAGATCCGAGTGTATTACGTCTTATACGATATGTTTGTTTAGCATTTTCTTTAGCTTCTTTATATCTCTTAAGATGATAAAGTGTTTTTGCTGTTTCATAATAAATTTCATCCATTGAAAGATAATTAGATGGTATTGCTTTTTGTCCACTTTCAATTGCCTTTTGATAATAAGAAAGTGCACGTGAATAATCTTTCATACGATAATATATTTCACCTATATTACTACATATAATTGCAACAGATGGATCTTCAATTGGAAAAGATTTTTCTGAAATTTGAAGTGCTGTTTCATAATGAGCAAGTGAATGTGAATAATCTTTCATTAATTTTAATCCATCACCAAGAAGTTTATTAGTTAATCCCAATTGTGGAGAATCTTTTGGAAGAGATTTTTCTTGAATTTGACGTGCTTTATCAAAATAAGAAATTGCACGTGAATAATCTTCCATTTGAAAATATAATTGACCAATTCGATTATAACTAGCAACTATTTCTAAACTTCCAGGTAGAAGAGATCTTTGTTGTATTTCAAATGCTTTTTCATAATGAATAAGAGCATGATTAAAATCTTTCATACATTGATATACTTCACCAATACCATTATAAGTTTCTGCTATTGAAGGATCAATTGATGAAAAATTTTCAAGTCGAACTTTTAATGAAAGATTATAGTTCTTAAGTGCTTCATCAAAGTTTCCTTGATCACATAACATTTGTCCAATACTATAATAAAGAGTACCAATTACTTTATATTCAGGTTGACTTAATTGAAGAGCTTTATCGAGAGCATATTGAAATGTTTTTAATGCTTCATCATATTGACCTTGACCATAATAACTCTGACCCATATTGAGATAAATAGAAGGAAGATGTTGATCATAACCTGGAAATTTGTTTAACCAAATATCTAGACATTTTTGTAAATGAGAAAGTGAATTTGAATAATCTCCTTTTTGCATTTTAATAAATCCAATAAATTGATGAAAATGAGTAAGTTGTGACCAATCATCGTTCGATATTTTCTCAAAAGCTTGTTGACATAATTCATCAGCTTTATCAAAATCTCCTATTTCAGCCATTAAAATAGCAAGTTTATGCCATCCTGTTCGTCCATCAGCAAGATCTTGACGAATAGATTCAGCTACACGTTTTAATTGTTGATCATCATTATGTGTTAAAGATAAATTAACTTGCCATAATTGATCTTCGATCTGTTTTATTTCTTCAATTCTAAATACTGTATTCATTGAGAAAAGAATTTCTTTTTCAGTTGGAAAAAAACTTATATTTTCCATTGAAGCAAAAGGATTACTAGCATTTGTAGGATCAACTTCCATTTGAAATAAAACAGCTGTTTTACTTGAATCATTTTGAGATTTTTGAGCAAATTCTAATGCTACTTGTCTATCGACACTAGTCGAAAGAAAAACATTGAATGATATAAGTCCTCCTGAATTTTGTCTCATATGTTCAAATTCTTCATTCATCATTCCTTGTCCTCGATAAACATTAAATGGAGAAAATTCCTTTGACTTTTGTAAGTATAATTGTGTAATTTGTTGATGAGCATCACGTACAAAAAAAGCCATTTTACTAATTATTTCAATATCTTGACTTCGTAAGGCTCTATTAAGCATTTTATAAACGAAACCTTCTCTACTATACCACCATAATGGAGATTGTTTTAAATAACCTTGATCAAATTCATTAATAAATTCTAATTCTGAATCATTTTGAGAATATTGTTCACGACAAAATTCAATAAGTTTTTGTTTTTCTGTATCTTCTTTTTCTATATCAATAAGAATTTCTTTTAATAATTGTGAATACATAAATGTTGGATCAATTTCATTTGATTTCATTTTTGATGATGATGGAAGAATAGTAACAGATATTAAATTAGCTTCAGATTGACGAATATCTTGTTTTAATACATTACATATAGATATAATTCCAGTAAAAACACCTTTTATTTTTTCATAGTTTTTCGACCATTGTTCATATTTAGATTTATGACTACAAAATATATAGATTGATTCGAGTTGATTTAATTCTTGTATATGAGGAATGATCTGTTGACCAAATGAGCCTGAAACAATCAAAACTACTTTTTCATCTTTAACTTTACCAAGAAAATCCAAACAATGATCAGCATTAGTAAATATTTCAATTGAATTAACGATTTGTCGAAGATGAGAAATAGAATTTTGATAATCACTATCTAATTGATCAATTTTAGGATCTGACCAAATAACAATAAAATTTTCAACAACACGATGTTGTCGATTATTAGATGGATTATTTTCAATTGTTTCTCCTCGCTTTATTGAAGTTCGTCGTACATTTGCAGTAGACAAAAGAGTTGATTGCATCGATTGTCGACTGGTAGAAGCCATTTATTTAAATATATCACTTTGTTATGTGAGTACTGATGTAATAACAATTCTTTAATGACTCAACGTTATTAAATAATCTATAAAAAGAAAAAGAAAAAAATAAGTATTATTATATTAGATATGAGATAAATAAAATATCTATTTTAAATATATTATTCTCTTCAATCAGATAGTTTTGTTTTTATCTCAAATAAATATTTAGAATATATTCTTCAATATAAATGATAATCGTTATTTGTAGATAATAGATATTGATTTCGAATAATTTCTTAATTCGCGCTGCATATATTGAAATAAAAAAAAATTTCACTTTTCTTTCTCATCCATTTTTATTAACTTTTAAATGAAAAATAATGATTTGAGAGTGACTTAAATCGAGTGATTTTCATGTAAAGATCAGTTTGATCTCGCTGAAATTATTTCCCGTCATAGATATGTGTTACATCATCCAACACAACTCGAATCGATCTCATTCGTTGTTTTTTTTTCATAGTCCGATATGATTCAGTTTCTGTTTTAAGTCAGTACAAGGTTTTATAATAAAATATGATCGATCATAAAATGTAGGCATAGTTTTTAACTTAATCACCTGAAAACCAAAATTATGGGTTTGACAATTAGTGAATGGTTTTTTAAATAGTAAATTTTTATATTGTCATTGGTAGTTTTATTTAATCCGATCACTATTCAAAACTAAATAAGAAAAATCCTACTATTAAATCTTATATATGTGTGTGTTAACTGAAATGAGACGAAATAAATGTGATCAATGATCAATCCATATGGTTATATTATGCTTGATTGATTGGATGATGATGAAAAACAAAGAGTAATGGTCTATAAAATAGAAGAACATAGTTACTTATAGATATATAATACTTGTTTATTTATCGTTAAATCATATAAATCATTCGACCAAATCCAACATATTATCTCTTCTAATTTTTGTTTTCATGTTTTTGTCTTTTTCTTTACCTGTTTGTAATTATACACCTTATAAATATATGTCACCTATCGATTTTTTCATTGTTGTTAAAAATGAAACCTTATTGAAAATTTTTCTATTTTGAGGGATAATTTATTTATTTAATATTAGAATATTCGCTAAATGTCAGTAAAATCAACAGACATTAATTATGTTGTTTATCAAAATCTTTCTTCGAAATATATTCTTTATTCAAGAATCAGTTAATAATATTAAACCTTTAATTTTCACAATAGAATAATATATTTTAATAAACTTTTTTAATAAAGCTATGAGAAATAAAATAATTAAAAAAAACACAAAATTCGATGGACAGTTAATCAATTTAGTATTAATGAACGTTGACAGACAGAAATTATTTATATACATAGGGGTATCCAAAAGTAGTGGCAACGACATTTTATTACCACATATTAAGGTTGATAAAAATTTCTTTTTACATAGGATGATAGAGCGAAAAAAAGCTCTTTCTTTCTATGCTATTTGATCATACTTCAGGTGACATCATAATAAAAAAATTCTAATAAGACTAGTTTACCTAACATGTGGCACGGTTACAGAAGTACATATTGTCTTCAATAGGCATTCTTTTCTTGATTTTTTCCTTTTTTTCTTCTTCTCTTCATTCTTTCCTCTCACTCTTCTGAGATTTTATCATTCCTCATATGTATACAAAGATACATGCGTCTTTTTGTACACGTGTCGTGCGCTATTCTATTCTATAAAAAGTGAAAGAAGTTAAGTTAAATCGAATCTTACTACTCTTCATTTTTGTTTTCAATGGACAAAGAAAATTTTCGCTTCTACATTAAAGTGCGTACTGCGTTTAATGTTGAAGCAACAACTATTCACGACGAACTACGTACTGTTTTCGGTGATGAAGCTCCTTCTTATCGAACAATTGCAAGATGGGCTCAATGGTTTCGCGAAGGTCGAGAAGAAATTGAAGATGAAGAACGATCCGGAAGACCTGTAGCTGGGAGTACTCCTGAAAATATTGAAGAAATTCGTAGTATTGTTAGTGATGATCCTCATTTTACAATAGCAGAATTACAAGAATATACTGATCTAAGTTATGGTACCGTTCATAGAATATTATCTGATCATGTGGAACTTAGAAAAATTACTGCCCGTTACATACCCAAACAGCTAACGGATTATCGACGGAGTGAACGTGTTCGAATATGCAAAGAAAATCTGTCAAGATTTACAGAAGGAGGATGGCGTTTGTCTGACGTGGTAACAGGTGATGATTCATGGTTTTTCCATCAGCAAACTGGTCGAAAAGTTTCCAATGCTGCTTGGGTGGCAAAAGACGATCTTCTGCCCACAATAGTTCGACGAAATAAGTTTGCTTCAAAAACTCTATTCTGCATTTTCTTTAAATCAACAGGTCCTCTTCTGATCCATCGTGTCGAACGTGGACAAATTATCAATCACCAATATTACATCGAAAACTGTTTGCAGCCTGTTATCGAAGAAATCAAGAAACAAAGACCTCGTTCAGATACTCATGCCATCAAATTTCATCATGATAACGGAGGACCACATTTTCATAAAGACGTACTCGATTATCTTCATTCAGAAGGAATTACCGTAGTACCACAACCACCAAATTCTCCAGATCTGTCTCCATGTGATTTTTGGTTATTCGACTTGATCAAACGAAACCTAACTGATCAAACAGACTCCAAATCGTTACACAACGCTATAACGGAGTTCATGTATTCTTTAGATAAAGAAGAGTACAGAAAAACGTTCGATAAATGGATTCAAAGAATGGAATTGTGTGTAGATAATCAGGGCCATTACTTTGAACATTTAATGAAATAAAAACTGTTGTACTTGTTTATATATTTTCAATTTTCGGATATGCTAATCTTAATAAACGTTAAAAGTCTCGAAAGAGGTGAGAGGAAAGAGTGAAGAGAAGAAGAAAAAAAGGAAAAAATCAAGAAAAGAATGCCTATTGAAGACAATATGTACTTCTGTAACCGTGACACATGTTAGGTAAACTAGTTTTATTAGAATTTTTTTATTATGATGTCACCTGAAGTATGATCAAATAGCATAGAAAGAAAGAGCTTTTTTCGCTCTATCATCCTATGTAAAAAGACATTTTTATCAACCTTAATATGTGGTAATAAAATGTCGTTGCCACTTTTTTTGGATATCCCTATGTAGAGACGTCTTCCCCATTGTTGAAAAATAATCTCCTTAAATATTAAAGCATTTATTAAATATCAAATCTCTTTGTTGTATTTAATCAGTCAACAAATTCACCCATGTAAGGATGAAATTAAAGTTGTCAAGAGTAATAAATCAATAGCAGTCAAAATTTTCTCACATATTAGTCACTGTTTCAGCTTTTATAATAATAAAATGATAAATAATAAGAAGAGAAGAATAAGAACCGTATGTTGAAAACCGAAATACCAATGATGATATTTGATACCAGCAGCTTTAGCACGTCGTTCTTCATGCAAATCTTTGAATCGATCTGGCCGATAGATACCAAAGTATTCTGATATCCAATTATGTGTTCTTTTCAATCTTAGACCCATATCATTGAGATAAATTTCGATTGGTGATAACCAATAATAAGCATAATAACATCCACTTCGATTGAATGTTTTATGTATAAATGTAAATGTCTCATCGATTTCTTTGTACATTCCCGTTTCAGATACAGGTAATTTAAGTCGTCCTAAAAAATATTCTGATATCCAATGACTGGCTACTTCAGCTACCAACCATTGTGTTAGGCATACTACATAGCCAACAAAGGCCACATTAGGTACTCCAACAGGTATGATACGTCGATATAAATAAAGATCAGTTTCAATATTTGATTCTGTCGAAGTTTGCGTCGTTGGTAGACCCAATGTTTTCGCATCCATATCGGAAAAGAACGGAAATCGATTGATAAAACCGGTTGCACATATGATCATATCCGCTTGTAAATATTCACCTGATTTAAGTCGTATTGTTGTTGTATCAATAATTTCGTCGATAGAATCAGATTTTGCTATAATACGACCTTGTTGTTTAAGTCGAATAAAATCTTGTGGTATCATGTATATATTTTCAACATTACGAAATGAATAATTCGGTAGAAATACTTTATCGTCATATAAATCTAGTCCATTAGTAATCATTATATCAATGCCAATTTTATCAGTAATGAATGTAGAGAAGCGTGGAAATGTACGATGAAAATATCGAAATAGTTTCGAATGAGGTGCACCAGGAAATGGCTCAAAAAGGTTATAAACAAGACGTGTAAGAAAATATCGTGCAGATAATAAACCACCTACAATCGTGCGTGGTAACATCCAATGAGCACGTCGTAAAACAAGGTGACAACTACGAACATACAAACTACATGTTGAAGCTAAATCTGTAGCACATTTACCACCACCAATTATTACGACACGTTTGTCAATAAGTTGTTCGTGCGATTTTATATTATAACCATGAATAATGGTTCCAGTAAATTTTTCTTGACCACGTATATATGGCATATATAGGTCATTGAAAAGATTAGTAGCTACGACTAGAAAATCAAATTCATACATCTCATATTGACCATCGAATTTTTCAACTTTGATTTGCCATGGAATATTTTCATCTTTCAAATTTTTCTTATTTATTTCGATGACACGTGTTTGAAATTTAATACGTTCAGTAAGATGACAATGATCTGCATATCGTTTTAAATAATCATGAATATGTTGCCAAGAAGCATATTCTAAAATAAAATCTCTATGTAGATTAGAATAAAAATACTTGATGCTTTACCTTCGCCATCGAATAGATCAGAAAATTCTATTGTACCTCCAAATTGTTGACTATGTAAATCGACGTAAGCAACATCTTCACACCAAACACCACCAATATGTCGTCCTCGTTCGAAAATTGTCACATTGAAACCATCTTTCAAAAGTACATTGGCAGCTACTAAACCACTAGAACCTGCTCCAATGATCGCTACTGATTTCGATTCCATCGAATACAAATTATCTTGTTGAAAAAACAAAAGAAAAACAAACGACAAAATTTTTCAATAATCAATTCAAGGTCAAATATGTATCTACAACAAATAATTTTCTTTTATTTTATATTACTAGTGTAAAAAGAAAGATGCAATCAATTGTAATAATGTATAAACCTATGGAATGATCGTGAAAAAATAAATAAAAAAATCAATCCTAGGATTTGTTTTCTGGTCTATGACTTCTATTCTTGTTTTGAATTTGGCAAATAAGTCAGAAGAAGTAGTTGCTCATGTATTTTTGGTACAGAATTGAAATTTATGTTCGTATAATTCAATCATCGATTAAGTTATATTTATCAAAAGATTTAAACATATATGAAATGATCCATGTTTGAAATCATTGTGAGAATGCTGGTATGGATATCCGTGGCTGGGAAGAAATGTTCGTTAAAATTTCCATAAGTCTGTAGATAAACATTGTATTCAGATTCGTGTTGGTGAACTGTGTTGAGATAATGATATTTCATGTATTGCAATCATTAATGAAGAGACCAGCTTCGAACTCAAACATTTATGGATAAATTTCCATAAAAGCTGTTCTTCTGTAGAAACTTATCCATAACTCCACGAATCCTACTTTAATTTTTTCATCGACAATTGTATTATCTGCAATGTCATTGTTTTAATACCGTTCACCAACAAGAATGCGAATACAACATGTATCTAGAGACTAATGAAAGTTTTAACGAAAACTTCTTTCCCAATGCGACATTGGACGCTAACATATGTTTTTTTTTCTACACATATGTATATCTAAAGTAATATCGAAATTAAGAAAAAGAAAAATTTTACTTGTATTACAGCTTGAGAGTGCTGCTTGATATTATTTCGATGTTCCTCAATTGTTGGCACAGTTCCATCGTTATGAGTAAGTGATTCTTTCTTTTCATATTTCATCATTGAAGATAATAAAATTTCTTGCCAATGAAGTTCTATTTGTAAAATTCATCTTTGAAGTGATTGTTCAAAATCAGTTTTGGTAAAATCGACATAGAGTTTCGTAGCACAAATAAATCCTAATTATTCATCAGGTCGATATTTCTTTTCGATAACTAATGGAATAGTAAGATACATATTTTCAAAATTAAGTTAAACAGTAATATTTTAAATTAATTAAACGTTAATGAATTTGATAACATAAATGGAGTCGAAATTATAATAAATCATTTCCTTTACTCCTTTCTATCTTTTTACTGATGCTATAGATATACGACTTTCGATCGTAGACCAACAATATCAGTGGGGGGAGGAGTTCAAATTTCTATCCTATATTCTTCAACACTCATTTTAGATTATGTTTCACAAAAAAGTTTTCTTCTAACGATCTTCTTTCTAGCGACGGTGCCAGGACTTTTTGACAGAGGGAGCTAAGCAGAGGTGCAGAATTTGTCCCTGTGCACGGACATCCGTTCGAGGAAATTTTCTCTTTTAATGGCAGATTCTGCACATCTGAGGATGAATCTTCTCAATTCTTCTGTTAAACCACATTAAGCAACAATTTTAAAAGTTTTCCGGGAGGCGGGGACTCAAAGAGTTTTAGAGGGATCAGTTTCTCTTTACCTCTTGTGGCGTTACCATTACTTCTTTCATTCTCACAATGAGTTTCATTTACCATAAAGCTTTCATATGAATTTTCGTATATCAAGCAAGAAATGCAAATCATTTAACGGTTCTCTATGATCAATATTTGATGCAGCAAACAAAAGTCAACTTATTGACGTTCCTTGTTGAGAATAACATACTTTTTAAAGATGCTAATAAATGTTCAACATGAAGATCTTGAAAAGCATGGCATGGATTATTAACAGCTTTAGATAAATAATTTATAAAAACCAATGTTAATTCATCAATATGATCTAAATGTTGAATATCTTGTTCATTAAGTATTTTGGCTATAATCATTATAGCATGTAATTTAATTGGATCAACTGGTGAATTTTTTAATTTAAGAAAAATTTCTTTCATTAATGTTAATATTTCGAGTTCATGTGTTGAATTAAATATAAATAAAATCGCTGAATCATTTAAGTTTGTTTTTGAATTATAATCAATTGTTATTAATATATTATCTAATAAACAATTCAACTGTAATATAAGTAACATTGAATCAATTATTTTTAAAATATTCTCATGTTAAAGAATGAAAAGTAATATAATATAATAATGCTGTCATATAATAAATTGATTCCATTAAAGCATATGCCCAATCATCAATTGTTGATAAAAATAAATCAGATGTATGTTGATAAGATTTAAACATATTATTTAAACATAATATATTTATTATTATTATTGGAGATTTTTCCTCTATACCGAACACAATAACATGGACATATTCCTCAAATAAAATCTTCATATGCAGTTTTTCAATTTATGGATATGTTCACTAATACCGAAGCAATGTGTTTTGAAAAACGGATGATTTAAAAACCATATTATCTTTCGACCATTTATTTAATATATTCACTAAACATTTTTGTATTATTTCTTAATGCATCAATTATTTTTACTATAATCATCAGTTGTTTAATTATTTTTATTTTCATTCAATTCAGTAACAATTAAACCAAATAAAAATTCTAGTTGTCTAATTAGTATTGTTTGTCTTTGATTAGAAATTCTTGTACAATATTTACTTATAGTTAAATCCATTTGTATATGTATTTTAAATAAGAATTTTCCTAATACAAGAAAAAAAAGATCTTATTCAAATACAATATAACGGGTAGGCCAGAACAAATGGTTGCGTTTTGTATTTTGTTTCTTCGTCATTTAATACGTTCTATTAAAAAAACAAAATATACTAGAAGATGTAGTGCGAAAAGCTCTATAATCTACATTACAGTAAACCTTATTTTACATGTGTCTTTAGTTTTCAAAATAGACAAGGTTCTGTGTGAACAATTTTCGACGCTGCGAACAGGATCATTTCTCATTGACAATAACATGACATCGATTCAAATTGCTAAATAATTACAAAACGTGACCATTTATTTTGGCTTAATCATCACTTGTTAGAAAATAAAGAATACATATTGACGATAAGCAACGATTGAGTAATGACTATTTATTCATGTGATGTGTTTGTTTTTCACAATGACACGGTTCACTGATTCAAAAATCTGATCAAATGATAGTTAAATATTTTAATAAATGTGATGCATATTTGACTTATTTCTATTGATTAGTAATGTAATCGTTTCATGTATGATTATATAAGGAAAGATTCACAATCGAAATCATTATTATTTAGATTGACTTTTGCGTAATTTTTTTCATAAATAAGTCAAAGCATTGTATTTAATAAAATGCTATCAATAAGTGTGATTTTTCATCTATGTATTCCATTCAAACTTATTGACATCAGATATTGAAGAAACACTAATGAGGAAACCTTCCCAGCTTGATAATCGCTTTTGACTTTGAATTTTGTGCATATGGTCGATCTTAATGAAATATTAAAAACTTCAAAAGAATGAAATATCCTAGGCCTTTGTTACAGAATTATAGCTGTTGTACTGAAGTTTTAGCTTGTGGTACAATATATATCCTAGAATCGAATGATGATATTTTAATCAAAAATTTCATCTATAGATAGACCTACGTGTAGTTAGAATTTCTTGGAAATTTCAGTTTAAAAGAATGTTTTCTTCACGAGATGTTAAAACATTATTTTGAAAGTGAAATGTTCAGAAAATTCTAACTACACGTAGATTTATCTATAAGGCAAATTTTGCATCGAAATTTACCTATGCGATTCTTTAGTACCCACCGTAGCATAGGCTAAAATTTCAGTGAAACGTTTATAATTCTGTAGGAAAAGCCTAGAGGCTCTTATCATTTTAAGATTTTTAATATCTCATTGGGGTATATCTTATGTACAAAGTCTGCAATAAAAACAATTGTCAAGTTTGAAATGTTCCTTTGTAAGTACAATAGTACCATCTTATTTCATAATTTATTAACAATATCTTTCAAAATCAGTCAATAGTAATATATATTGGCGACAGAGTAACGTTAGATGTTTTTTCACAACTCAAAGACTCTCGAGCACTAAACCTTCGAATCCAATTTAGAATTTGATTATTCACATATTCACTGATAGGCATGATGCAACGTTAAATATCGCAATTGAACCATGGAATTTTTGGTGTAGTCATTTTGAGTATCCAACAAGGATGAGATTGATGAACTTTTGAAGTATACGTAAATTTCGGCTTGATGAAGACACGATCTTAAACAGTACAAGATATGAAGAAGCATCTGAAGTTCGTCGAGGAATGACTAGAAACTGGATGTTAATGATGATCTTAGAAAACAGAAATTTTGATAAGTTTTTTTAAGGATATTTTGCGTGATGTCTTTTTTTATCTAGAATATGTACAAAGTTAAGTGTTATCTTAGGTAAGCAAAAAAAATAATGACGAACATCCAACATGATTAGTGTAAGATGTCCAGACTAGTCAGCAGAATAGAAAAACAAGAATCAAAACAGACGAAAGACGGATTCGAACATTCAATGCGACAATAATGGAGAACTGACGGGCATTTTGACGGCAAATTACATACTAACCAGAGGCTACCGTCAGTGTCGATAGTCTAAGCAGCGGAATGACGCTTATTAATTCGATGTCCAATTGAAGCTAACCGAAGAAAAGGAACTTGACTAGTCTGAAATGTCGCCTATAGTTGTTAAGACTAGTCAGTTTGTGAAAAAGTACCGTCAACGCTAGTCTAGATTAATCTAAAGCTTTTTTACAACCCATTTTATTTTGAGTTGAATCATCATAACTACTCGCTTCGACTGGCTGTATTCGAACAGAAGGAACAAGAATGTAACACAAAGAGTTCTTGAGCGTCGAAATCATCTTTTACAATAGCCGATAAATAACCAGATGCATTTAGAATACAGATCAGATAATAGAACAATACTCATTTCGCTTTTAGTTTCAAGTATGAGGACAGTTTGGTCTTAGAAAAAGTGAGAGAGCAAAGTTTTTTTGGACATTTATTTAGGTAGTTTTGTAGATCTAATTGACTTGCAGTCATACAGAAAAAAAATGACTCTGGACCCATATTAAATAGTAAAGAATCGTGTTCCTCAAGAGTGCTACCCATGATTCTATGATATGGATTCACAGTGTATAATTCAGCAGCATGTTGAACCGCAAAAATCTTCTGAAATTCTTGTCACAAGACTTGAAAAGCATGCGGCCGAAAGGTAATAGCTCGCGTTCAGTGAAAATAGAAAGAGTTTATTTGGTTTTCATAAAGATCGATTTGCGAGCTAATCAGCTTCCATCATTTAGAAGAACATTTTCCTGAGAGCTTCATTGAGAGTGAGCTTTAGAAAAACTTTCGAACTTTATTGAGCAATTGTTTGAGAAACCACTCAACTTAGGGAAAACGCTTCTTTTCTCACACAGTAAAGACTTTTAGACAAGAGATTTTTATGAATTGATGCCATATGCGTTCAACTTTTAAAATCTACGTAGTTTGGCTCTTTGAGAATTATATTATTCGAGGTTAAAAAATGTCTTTGCCTACATAGGTTGAAATAACCCTGTATTTGTTTAGTCGACGATCGTAAACGCTAAAACCAAAAGTTTTTTTTATCATTCAATCGGTCATCGCCTAATGTATTTAAGCAATCATCTAGATCGTGAAAAATCTTATTTTCATTCTTTTTCTCTCCTTCTCTTTCTTTCCTATGGGAGGAAATCTGTGCACTCAAACTAAATTACTTTTTCTTCTGTTCTTCAATACTCTTCTATTGTATAAATATTATTTTTCTTATCAAAAAAAAAACATATTTATTCTGATTTTGCAGAATAACGTACCCATATAAGTTTGCATAAGAAAGGTATATGTTAGTCAACATGCAACATCAATTTTATTACTACTGTAAAGCGAATGCTTTTAATCTTTTCAGTCTTGAAAGAGAAAGTCGACTGGAGAGTGAACTCATTCTGTAGAGGACTTTTTGAGCTGTATACATATACATCTAACTCCGTTTTGAAATTTTAGTAAAAAAATGAGAGAAGGACAATATCTTTAGAAAGTAGAAATTTAGAACTCTCGATACCATTATAATAGAATTTTATTTGAAATGTTGATGCAACACCTGTAAAATATCTGTAATTGATGCCATGGTAACAACCTTTTCATCAATATACGGTGGAATTATAGTACAACCCCATTCCTTTAATTTCGCTTCTGATATTCGAGTCTGTGGATGATTCCATAGACCATGATTCATTGACGGTGCGATAAATATTGGACACCTAGCACCTAGTGCATCCGCGATCATTGATGTTGCAAGATTATCCGCTAAGCCAAGTGCCAGCTTATTAAATGTATTGAATGTGCAAGGTGCAACCAGCATCGTGCCGAATGGAAATCTATTGAGTGGTGGATCCTTGTAGCCACGTATAGCATGGCTACCCGGCACACCATAAATTTCATCGGGAGGTAACACAGAGCTCACGTTTAGTGTCAAGATTGTATATGTTTTCCAACCGGCAGCTACTGTTTCACGGACCAGTTCAGGCGCATCCTTTGCACGGCCCGAACTTGTCACAAATAAGAATATTGTAGGTGTTGACATTTTGCTATCGTGAATATAAAGTGAAAAAGAGAAGGATAATGTATAAACTGTACTTTTTTTTTTATTCTGTTACTTCAATTTTTTATTATAATCGCTCGTTTTTGGGTATCGTCATCAAGTATTACTTGCGTGATGAAAAAGAAATTTGTTATTCTTTCCTTCTGAGAAAATGAGGCATGATCAATCAGAAAAATGTAAATATACATTTTGAATAACATAGTTTCGCAATAAAAAGCAATTATGGCAATTAAAATAAAAACAATTGTTTGAGCAACACTCATACATATATCACATTCTCTGAATGCTGAACTATTATAATTCAAACGGGGAAGTAGTTCAGCATAGCAGAGAAACCAAAAAATAAACTTCGTGTTTACTCGCTGAAAATTACATCGTTAGGAAGAGCGTGAAAAATCGAGTTTCCCACCAAAATATGAGTAAGATGTATATCCGCGTGTCCAGGAAAAGTTTTTAAAATACCATTTCCTGCGAAAACCACAAGAGTTCCTTGTTGTCTTTCGTCTTCAATTCTAGTTTTTTCTCTTTCTCTCTTTCCTTCCTGCTCTTATGGACACAGTGCATGTGTGTGTCAAAAGTACAACATGTTCAAGTGCTTCAATTATCATCATCTGCTCGAAGATATTCAACACTGATACACGATTCTAAAGACAGGATTTTGAATCTATCAGAATCAATCTCACTCGTTTCTGTCTAGATCTTTTAAATACATCTTGCTTTTACTATAGAAAAATCTAGCAAAACATGAATCTCGTCGAAAATGAAGAAGCAATGTGCAAAATCTAAAGCTGAACAATGCACTATGTAAAGTAGTAATCGTTTGCGTACTACGTAATTTGTTCTTTCCACAGGTTACAATTGAGATTGAGTCTATGCGAATATCAAAGAGACCACTATTCGTCCTTGAGTGAGTAGTTCCCTTGTGAACAGCGATATCACACTAGCCAGCTAGCGAGTGAGTTGACACGTGCTTCTACACAGAACATTTTCTGGGCTCTTGTAGTGCAGCCACGTAGTTTCGATGACAATTCTAGCATTTCTTGCTTCTCTTTAAATGAAGTAAGAAAATAAATACATGTTTCAAATGATCTCTCACGTTGGATGTACGGAAGAAAGAAAAGTCAATCGAACTTTCCCTTAAGGATACCCGCTCCTCACTCTTTTTGGACTATTTCAGGATCTCATTCGATGGTGAGACCGACTAAACTGGAACTTTTACTATAAATAACTACAACACTTACATGCTATTTTGAATTCTCGACGATAGACTGATAGGCCATAGTTAATCCTCTAAAAAATAAAGGAAATATTGTAAATATTCTTTTTTTTTTGTTCTGTTACGAGATATGATATCATTTACATTAGACACACGTGCTCACAGAAGAAAGGAGAAGAAATTATTTTGTACTGTTATCTTTTCACCATAAATATTGATAGATATAACTAACATTATTTTTGTCCTTGCATTATATTTTTCTTTCCTCTTATAAATAACCACGAATCAAAATATTTTTCAAACAGTCACTTCATTAAAGCAAGATGACAAAGCACAAATTTATCATGGTAAGAAAAGAAAACAGCACCACGACGATAAGAAAAGATCAGAAAAAAATTTCTTGCAATATTATTCTCGTGGACTCATAAAAGTCGGCAATTAAGACATATTATGTAGACTGCGATGATATTTTTCAACAACTTTGTACATGCAGTCGTTCTTTCGGATTTCTTATTTGACATAAAATGACTCGAATTGTAACACGAATCTGGTATTGGTCTTTACTTATTTTGCCATTGACAGCTATGCTCACATTCGTTCTAACGTTGGTAGTGTGCAGTCAAGTGTTAAGACACAATTCATGGTCAACAGTGAAGTTGCCGCATATATCTGTACTTGGAACGGGTCCTGCCTATAATTATTTTGTTTCTGGTTTTGTCATTTTGACCCCACAATTTTTATTAATTCTTATTGGTCGACTTCAATTTCTTTTTCAATCTCAATCTATCATTCATCGCGCTATTCTGTATGTTATCCATGCTATAGCACTTATCGCATCCGTATTTCTTCTGATTATGGCCATCGTGAGCTTAAATCATAATATTCCTCTTCACTTGACTGGTGCTATTGGAATGTTTTCACTCCTTTCGACGTATTGTTCCTTGCATACCATTGTTGTTTTCTATCTCTTTATACGACGATCAAAAGCTCCTCGACATTCGAATATTCTTTATTCATTATGGTTTCTTGTCTGTTGTATAGTACTTATCGTCTGTGCCAGCATCTGGGGCGCAACGAGCCGAAGTATTCCGCAATATATTGCTGCTGCGATGCCTTTCCTGTATATGCTTGGCTTTATACCACAGTTTTGGAGCCAAGCGAGAATGAAAAGACAGGATTCTGGTTTATCTGCACAAGTACATTACTCGAATCAAAGGATGTCATTTTAACTTGATAAAAATGAGATAAATTTCAAGATATGATGTTTTATACTTACTTATTATTATTTTGATTTATTTTTTGGATTGGATGTACTGATGATCGCTTAGAACATCTGCAAAAAGGTCGAAAATTTTACATGATTTATGTTTGTTTGATGTTGAATTAAAAATAAAATAAATTATTACATTCACTGTATTTTCATTATTATTCAGATGAAATGAGTTTATAAATGTTGTTTTTATCATTATTTTTATGAGAAATGCTCCTATTTTGTATGATTAGAGTATTTTGTTAATTTTCAAATATCTTTTTTTTTAGATTTGAGGTATGTTTTCTACAAAGAATAAATCAACATCTCTCTATTTTCTGTTAATAAAAATTGAGCTATATGAAAAGATCTGTATTTAATAAAATATATGTACTATTACTAATGACTTTGTTTAATTAAACATGTACTTTGATTATTATTCTATTCCACTTATTCCACCCGGGACGAAGTTAAGCCATCGAATTCTGTCGGATGATCTTAATATCGACAGAATTCTATCATAGGTATCAGCGGCGTAGTCAGAAGTAAGACCATTAGGCAATTGCCTAAGAAGATTTTTTAGATGATACTAACTTCTCAATGACGAAAGTCTCCAATGAACATATAAATTCGCAGGCTTTCATGATGAAATTCTAATAGATTCACTCTTGCTGTGACCTAGCCAACTGATCTAAAAAGATCATTCGACGATCTTGTCTACTAAACAATGATTATAATGATCATATATCAATGATATTTTGGTCAAAGCATTGATTTTTATGTTCAATACACTTCGAAAAGAATATGAATAAATGCTCAGTGATCTTTTGAAATCACATCGAAATATATAGAATGACATGAGTACTAGAACATAAAAATTTAAAAATTCAATGGATAACATAGAAATTTTGAACCAAAATCGATTGAACGGACAAATGAACGCGCTTTGAAAATACAAATCAGGGATTGCCAACAATGGCAAATAAAATGGTAATTCGTGATTTGAAGAATTCATAAATAACTAAACATTAGAGCCATAACAATACGGAGTAGCCCTTGTCATTGTCCGACGAAATAGGACAGACTAAAGGTTGACGTTACTGCCGAAGCATAAAAAAGAAGGAGAGAATAATTAGGAATTCACCCTTGCTCTGCCTCCAGAACTGATGGTAGGAAGCTGTACTTTAATAGTTGACCTATAAACTGCTTAAGAGAAATTTCTTAGCATACTGTTTATTCAAATACAGTTTTGTTGCAAGTTTGAAAATTTTTCGTTTCGCAACTCAGAGTTTTCAATAATCTTTAATTTGATTCATTTTTCTCTTTGTTTGGGCTTTCAAAATAATGTTTCCACTGGTTTTAAGCATTGTTGAGCAAGAGAAATGATTGTATTTCACTCAATCAATGTTCAATTTTTTGCAGCGCAATAGTGGAAGTATAGCCGCTTCCAGCGGCTGAGTATCGAAACAAATAGGTGACATTTTACTGTTAATATTCGAAAAATCGAGTTCCGATATCAATGATTTCTAGATTAGTCCAATAAAACATTTTGTTCTATTCTAAGAAGCCACTGCCATCGACTACATGTTATCCTCACCAGATGCTCAGTTCAAAAGTCTGATACAATCAACTTGTCGTCACGAAACCATAGATTTCAAGAAAATGAAAAAGACAATTCGCTGCATGGCATTTTTCAGAAAATTTGGCAAGAGAAAAACCGATGGAAAAAATCTTTTACATCTGCTGGGCTTCGAAGTCAGGTATCCACTTGCGTTACTCAATAAAAAAAAGGTTATCATGATAGTTTTCACACAAAAGATGATAAGACACTTTAAAGTTAAGATTACCTTTGTGAAGTAGTACAAAGACACCGAACACACTCGTCTGTTTGTTGAGCGTTGTTGACTTTTCTCTTCAATACACATTGGCTTTGGAAAAGATAAGAAATTTTGAAACACTGCAGCTAATTGACTTTCACTTACCCATGACTGCCCAAACCTTAATATAGTTCGGCTGAGGAATTGCCCAATACTCAAAAATTCCTGGCTACGCTACTGGTTGTGATAATCATGCCATCACTCACATTCCTAAAATGTTTAGCTTAAAGTACTGCACCTGTGTGGGATGTAGTCGGAGCACGTGGACACCAACACCCATACAAAGCCACGCCAACCCCACAGCCACGCCCATACCCACACTCACACTCTCACATTCACATCCACACCCACAGTCATACCCACCCACGCCCCCATCTACATTCACACGCACATCCACTCAATAGATGAATAGCATTGATCAAAGGCGAGCCAAATATTTTCTTGAATTCAAAAAGATATTGTATTAAACAAGATTTATTAACTATAAAGCAAAGAAAAAAAAATGCTTTTACAATATTCAATGATCATCAGAAATGTTTCAAGCCTGTAGTGCAGGACGTATTAAACTTAATGCCGGTGCAATGGTAATAGTATTTTCGTGTTGTTGAAATATGATTAATCTTTTTAATTTGGTCCAAACTTCAGGCAATGAACCAAGACAGACAAAAGGTAACAGAAGAGAAAGAAAATAACGCGTAAAAGAAATGTATAATTGAAATTGGCCAAGTGCACCCCTTGGTAAACCACAAACTTGAGCAAGAGAAATAACTACCGTTGGCAAACTAAGGAAAAGAAATAGTAATGAGATTGACAAAAGTTGAATAGCCATTTTTCGAAATTTTCGCCATTCAATACGTTGATGCATATATCTTTTTTGTCGAATAACACGAACAAGAAGAAAAATACTGAAGAAAATAATAATAAATGTCATTGAAATGGAATTTGTTATTGTACCATACATTGTAAGTCTTTGAACTGTTGTAAAACATGGATTAGTACACCAGTGGACCGAATAGATAAATAATTTATGGCAAGGTGGAAAGCAAATAACATAAGTATAAAAAATAAGACCATAGATTATGATTAAAGCCAAAGGTAGATAATGAAATAGAAAACATTTTCTTCGAGTTGACACCCATTGATTATGAAAAATGAGAATATGTCGTTCAATTGAGGCCCAAGCCATGATAATACCCGTTGTAGTGAAAATACCAATATCTGAAAACTGCCATGCAAGACATGTAGTAGGGATTTGAGGCCATACATGTCCTAAGTGTAGAAAATTGAGTTGTATTGGAAAGCCAATGATTAGAGCATGGAAATTCACAATAAGAAGAACAATAATAACATGATTGTTCAATGAATGTCGTAGATTTCTATCTATGATTATATGATATAGAAGTATGAGAGTGCAAAGTAAAGATGGTATTAGAAGGATAAGGAGAAGCCAAAATCGAACTGGTCGAGGTAGAGAAATTTCTGGAAATAATGCTTGTAATGATGCATTTCCATATCCATCAGAACTGTATTTCGACGAAAAAATAATGGTATCCATTTGAGTAAAGATATAGCAATGTCTGGTTCTGTTGAATATCACAAGTTATTTTTTGTGAACATATAATGAGAATGACAAGACGAAAAACAGTGTAAACAGTAATAATTTATACTCTTTTTTTTAATTCCAGGGAAGCTCGTTAGAATATGCATTGTGTTAGTTTCATTTAGTTTCTCTTGTGTACCTTCTAATCATTCGTTAACCATCCGTCACTCAGTTTGATGTCTTTCTTTGTATTTATTGTAATTATAAAAGAAATCATCATTCTATTCAAATTCAGAATATCATTCATTAGTCGTACTAGGGCCTAGATGTTTTTTACCCTTGTTTGATTCTATTTTATATTTAACCACAAAATGTACTCACTCACATATATATATCGCACTATTCTAGGGAAACATGTATGTATATATGTATCACAATAGCGAACGACTAGATGAAAAGAAAAAAACCATGGAGGTTACGTTAGTTCAAAGATAAAATTAAAAGATGAGAAAAAAAAAGAAAAGAGGATAACAAGTGAAAAGAAACAATTATAGTGTATGTGAGAGCAGACTCGTGACAATCAACCTGCCTGGATTTAGAACGTGTGTTCGCATACAACTTTACTATAACAAATCGGAAAAGAAAGAAAAAAAACATTTATCTTTCACATATGTTTATATAAATAAATGTTTCGACAACAGGAACAAACAAAATAGGCTGTGGGATGGATGAGGATGTGAATATGAATGTGAGTGGATGGGTGTGGGTTTGCGTATATGTGCAGAGAAGATTTATACACACACCCACACCCCACACTCATACCCTCATATTTGAAAACTTCGATAAAGAAAAGTTGCTCGTTCGTAATTCGAAATTGGTTTGGTTGAAGTGATTTATTATTGCATCTGAAGTTCAATTATATTGTCCAAAGTTTCTATAGTTGCTTATTAAGTTTCCTCATGTTAATAATTGATGTTATTTGTAAAGGTTTTAATACAGAAAGGAATTTACAATTTTTCGCCTATCTTCTACAATCATATGCTTTGATTCAGAGATCTTGCAAATATAAAATATTGAAAGAATTCAATAAGAAACTTCGTCTGTGATTACTTTTGGTTCTACTTTGCATGATGAATGGCTGATTTATGAGCATATGATGATTTAACTCTTGCTGATGATTCAAATGATATGAAAGCAAAGACATAATATAATCAAATGCAATAAAAATATTCACCGATACACGATTAATTTTGAATGTTGATTATGATTCCACTAGATATTAATATTGAGGTAACTTAAATCAGGATTGATTTGGTACTGAATATCTTAAAAACTTGCTTGGCTGACATAGATACATTCGATAAAAGAAAATAGATTGAGTATGATCACAGTTCAATGAAATTAGGAAAAATAGAATCGAATGCTCTGCTAGAAATGATCATAGAGTACATTGTTCATCATGATCCATTTCATAAACGACAGAAGGAAATATAAATAGATGCCGCAGCTTTGCTAAAATTGGTGTTGACTAACGGTTAGGAACAAAATACTCATATCGTGAGTTGAGGAGATATTCGACACTTATGTATTGATTTCAGCTATTTGTGTGAGTTTTTTCATGTATTCATATATCGAATTATTTTGCTTTCTATTCTATGTTCAAGCAATCAATGAAGAGTAATAATTAGATAATTTCTAAATCTTTTATTGATAATTCGATGCTAAAGAAGTTAGAAATAGAATACCTATGATTAAAGAGCATTGCTTATGGCAAAAGTTTTTTTTCTGAAGTATCGACCGGATACCATTTCAGTTTCGTATTGTCACATTCGGGATCTTTACATCGAATTATATACGAATTGGTTGATATAGCAATAATGATGCTTCTTGAATAACGTTTGTGTTGCGTTCTAATCAGTGAACAGTAGTGATAACCATCAGAGATATTAAAGAATAATTTATTTGTGTTTCAATTTCCTCTTACCATTGATTCAACAGTTTCTATGTGATGGATTTTTTGTAATTATTTGTCGAACAAATGATATATAGGAAGAGAATACATTCACACTGGTAGATTGAGAGAAAATACTAGGGGTTTGACTAACTTTTCTTGAAATATGGAAATCGATCTCTGATTCGAGTCAAGATGAGTGTACGTTGAATATACATCATAGTGTATCTGTGATTAAGATTGGTTAACAGCACTCATTATCGACTGGATAATGGATTCTCAAGTTCTTTTCCGTGCTTCTCCATTCAATTGACGACATGATAAGAGTGACCGACTTTCGGAGAACTTCGGTTTCCAAATGGCTATTCCTTTCATCGAAAGGATAATGATGAGATAGCAGCAATGGACTATTGCTATTGAACTTGACACAATCGAACAGACGAAACTGTTGATTTCTTGAATATATATGAAGTTCAATAGACAAAGTCCAGTGATTTTCGTCGTTTTGTACAATAAGATGAGCTATATCTGATGAACATTGGAGTTTTCCTGCCATGAAACAACAAATGCAGTCAGTACGAATCTCGTTCAGTAATGAAGAGGTTTTTAAAATAGTCATCAATGAATCCTTGCCATATATCGTAATAGGTTGAAACGTATTGCATGGATGACGAGTCGTTGCTAAAATTACGGAATGTAGCATGGTCTTTATGAAAATCTCTATTGCTCTGACATTAGCAAATACGACATGTGGGTTTGCATGAATGATATAATAGGATACTTTTTCAGTTGTTCACCAGAATCATTAAAACAGTCAATTCTATAATAAGAAGCATAAACGAACGAAGATTGAGTTCATTTGCTCGAAATCTCTTTCATCACTTCCGAGTTCTCTGCTAGTTCACTATAAAGAGTCCTTTTTTTGTTTATTCAGGTGGTAATGCATGGTTATTCACTTTTGCACTTGATTCACTTGAAAATCGTCCGGCCATGCACTGTTCTCCTAGGCCAATTAAATTCAGAGCACTTACGTATTTAACATAAGAAATTATACAAGGGTCTTTTTTAAAAAAGTTCACTTGATGCAAAAGACAGATCTGTTCTGTTTAAATAAATGTAAAGTAAGTTGAGAATGCATTCAATTGCAGTATGTTCATTGATTCCATTGTTGTTATTGACGAAATATTCGAAATCAATATATAATTTCACAGGATGTCTTTCTGAGATGCGCTCGTAAAGTGATCGATGATTCGAATGAACATAGAAATATAATAGTTCTAATTCATTAATCCTCAAAGCACAGAATATTTTCTTATTCTGGTGTCTTTCTATGAATAGAGTGTGGGTGTGGGTGTGGATGTGGATGTGGATATGGGCGGGTGTGGGTGTGAATGTGAGCGGATGTATTAATGTGAATGAAAAGGATGCAATATCACATCCACACCCACACCCACCCACACCCACCTACACCCACACCCACACCCGCACCCACACCCACACACCCACCCACACACACCTACACCCACACCCACACCCGCACCCACACCCTGCACACACCCACACCCACACCCGAACATTGATGCTAAACATGAATAAATCTCAGGACCATCCACTGTCAATAAAACATCATAAACTTTTTTTATATTTTTATTTTCAGATAATTGTGAAATATATTTTGATATTAAATTTGGACTAACGATAAAATCATCGGCACATGTTGTATTTGCTAATTGACAATTACGTATATCATACATTTCTGCTACTATACTAAATGTTTTTTCCTTATTTGATTTATCAATAATATTTTTTAGATGTAATAAACAAATTAAACATTCAGCATCAGCTTCTTCAATTAAATTTTGTTGTTCACTTTCTTCATTTGCTAATAATATAACATAATCATAAGAAAATAAATTTAATTTTTCTAAATCAAATCTATTTGTCAAACTTCCAGAATATACAAATATTTTTTGTTCTGTTAATTCATTAACTAATTGTTCATTTATAAATTGTGTTATTTTATCAGAATTTGTTAATACATGTAGTTCACTACCACGAGCAACATAACTATCCAATTCTTTAGCAATTAATGGAGCTTTATTATTCCATCCGAGTACAAGATTTCGCTCAACTCTTTTTGTTGTTCCTCTAGTCATAGAGTTTGATAATAAAATTGTATTATGATTGATTAATGAAGATAATACTAATCCTGAATGTTCATTATTAATACGTAATAAATAATCGGATGATAATATAATTTTACCATCATCTTCAGCGATAACAATAATTTGATCATCAATATTTATTATTATAATTAGTCGAGGAAATATTTTAACTGTTCCATCGGATAACATTAATCCAATTACTGAACATTTATTATATGAAAATACAGCATCATAAAATGTTCTACCAACAAGTGCTCTTTCATATTTAAAATAAATTTCATCATTTTGAAATTATAATAAAATTGTTAATATTACACTTAAACTACTTTGTCGACATGATTGAGCTGTAATACGTGCAATTATTTCATCAGCATAGACAAATAATGCTTCATCTCCGCCTAAAACAAAAAAACAAATATTTTATTTTTTACTATTAAATATTTCTGTGAACAAAGCAAAATTATTCGTTTTATTATTCATGAGACATTGGACAACAACTTATGCATTCGAACGAATTACTTATATAAAAACAAGATTAGTAAAACATGTAAAAGCAAATATTTAAATGTATAAAAAACTAATAAAAACCTGCAATCATTGCCGCTTCTAAATTGATTCGTTCTTTTATTTCGGCTACAATATGAAAATTAATGTTATTTCGTCGTGGACTATTTCTAATTGCTAATATTGTTTTTATTACTCTAACATCAGGATTGTTTATTTCCGATGCCAGTATAATTATTGATCGTGCTTGATTAAGACTCAATTTTTTCAAATTATTAATCTAAATTTAATAAAATATAATGTAATCATTTATTTATGATATTTAGATATACACAATAAAATAGAAAATTGAACAAAAAATTATATTCGACATTCATTTGTTACGAAAGAGACACAGAAAACAATTAGATAAGTATTATTCAAAAAAAAATTCGAATCAATGTTTTCTAGTTTTCGGTTAGAATTTTTGGAAAAAGAATCTTTTTAATTATTAGAATACTTGGAAAATATCCTTCAAATGATTTTTTATAGTCTACAAGACGAGCGAATAAGGGAAAGAAAATGGAAGAGTGCGCTTCAGTCGGAATACTATTATTTTTTCATTGTCATACTATTAATAAAAGGGAGAGACAAAAAGCAGAACATTTGTCAAAAAAAAGCAATTTTTTGTATTTTTTACATACCGACATAGGATCACCATTTCTATAAATAATTCTTGTATTTCTTGAATTATTTACTTTATCTTTAATCATATATTGAACTTCACTATTATCTTTTGATGTCAAAATAACAATTGAAGGATTACGTTGATTTTCATTTGCAATAATTAATTCATTAATAATATCAAATATTTTTGGTGACCATCCTAAAATTACTAAACACAAAGAAAAAAAGGAAGAGAGACAAACTTTTTCTGTTTGAATATTTAATCAATTTAATTTATAAATTTTACTTGTATGATTCTTTTCAACAACTGTTGTACGTCCTTCTTTAATTCATTTAATTTTTCATCCATAAAAGTTACAATTGCACCAATTAATATTACAACAATAACAAGGCCACAAAGTATAACAATTCCAGATGTAATTCGATTTTTTAAACCTTCATCGTCTGCTGCTGCACATGGATCAAGTATACGTGTAAATGTTTGCCATAATGCATCTTCATAATTATCTGTTTCTTCAGTAGAATAATAGATTACACTAAATATTAATATAATAAATACACTTATAATAGTTAATAATGGAATAATAAAAATTAAACAATGGGCAAATAGATTATTAAATTTATGTTTTATATATGAACAAATATATTTTAATATATTGTTATTATTTGAAGAAGATGTGTTACTGTTTGTCGATATCATTTGCATTCCTATATTAGTTAAATAATTTCTGAAATAAATTACACAAAAAAAAATGTAAAATACTAAATAACGTTTTATATTTTGGCATCATTTTTTTCGATTTATTATTTCAATCATACTTATAATATCATTCGAGTCATTTCTCATCAGTGTCTTTTATCTATTTTTTAAAGAGATTTCTTGTCTTTTAATATTTGCAAATAACAAATATAACATGGAACAAAATTTTAACGATATTGTTTTCAGATCGAGCATTACAGTGACCAGAAACGACTGTATACGGCTAAAACAAAGCTGAGGCATATGGTATCCATCAAGAAGCCTTTAAAGATCTTTTCTACACTCCTACGTCTATACCCCCAAAAACTCCAGCCCAATGAGGTACAAAAAAAATATCGATAAAGATCTTTAGAGACCTTGAAAGATTGTGCAAGATCTTTGAAGATCTTTTCTTTCAAACAAGGTATGTTAATCCCCAAAATACCTACAGAATAAGATATTCTTCAATAAAAGATCTTTCTTTATCAAAATATAAATTCAAGCACGAAAAATATCCTGACATCAGATACTTGAAAGATAAATATCATTAAAGATCTTTTTTTTTCCTGAACATCGTAATTATCCTCAAAGCCACCTTGAAAACCAGGTACCATTCAAAAAAAGATCCCTCTGTATGAAAGTAGATTGTTAAGTTCTAAAAATACCTTGAAATGAGGTACTTGAAACAAAAAGCGATTTTTAAAGACGGAGAAATATCGTTTCTTTTATGAATAGTACTGCTTAAAAATCAATTTTTCATACTCGTTATTGCTACCTGTTTTGCAACTCAAATGAGCCCTAGCACGTGGTGCATCCCCATACGTATGGTAGACATAGTGTGGAAAAGAATAAAAAATAGCGATTGTTTGATGATGTTATCAATAGCTGCAAACCGATTTCTATTCCAATAGTGGACAGTTTTAGTCTAACTTTTGTGCATTTGTTACCTGTGCACTTAGTGTGAATATATTTTTTTATGTGTGATATTGTTTGTAAGGTTGGTGTGTTGTACGAGGGACCTGCAGTGTATGAACAGAAATCGAGCAGATCAGAACGTTGCGAACATGTTTGATTTGATAGAAGTATTGCTCATATCGGAAAACAGAACTGGAGAGTCTTTCTCGACTTTATGGAAGCGCAAGTGCTGTCAGCTGTCAACTAATTAGTATAGCCAATCTGCATCATGAAACCTAGCCAAAATAACACTACTATTAGTATTGCACGCACTTTTCTCATTCTGAGTCCCTACGAAACTGGTACCATTCGACCCAGAATTAAATTCTGCAACTAACCCAAGTAATATAGCGAATCCGGACAAAAAAGGCGAATATGGTGCTAACTTTACCGACGTTTTTAAAAGTAAGATATGACAACATTCAAAAACGTATCACTACCTTTGAAATTTCTCAAGACTTTACGAATGCTTCTAGCGCATTAGTTAGATTTGAAGACAAAAGTATAAAAATTAATTATATCTGTTTTGCAGCTGAACCATGACCTAAACAAGGAGGGTTATATTAACGTCACTGTCAATAACTCTGATAAGTATGAGTACGTCAATAAAAGCTTTAGATCAGAGGACTATAGAGAAATTGTCAATTAATCAATCATATGAAGAAGTATATGAAGCGATGTACATCATATCATACACGAATAATACTTATTTTCTTTTCCTCATCTAAAGTATTCTTGTTGTAAACCTCACTAGTAAATTGTCCTAATAAGATCTTGCTATTTTCGTTTCTCTTTTCTTTCTTCATCTTTTTTATACTCTATTTTGCCCAACAAAGAATTTTCAGAAGTCGCCATAGTCTATTGATATGTAAAAAGCTCAAAGAACACCTAGTGAATTTCAAGTAGGTGCTCTTCATCACTTATCTAGTGAGAGTTATTCTATTTTCAAGTCATGCACGATTTTAATATAGCAGTATGAGATATATATATATGAACAACACTTACATTAATATTTCAATAAAGTTATAAGATTTTTTCAGAAGGAAACCTTCTAAAATCTTACTGTTATCTATCTAAAATATGATAGTCGTTCTGTATTCAATTTCTCCTGAAGTTTACGAATAAATTATCGAAAAACTATCGCTTTTTATATACTGATATTTGTCATTTATCAACATATTCGACTTGGATGTGGGTGTGGATGTGAATGATCGAAGTCATATCTATTATATAGAGTATTCCGTAAGTGCTTAGACAAAAAAAAAATTTGAATATCTTCATTACGATTCGATCAAACGAGCAAACTTTTTTAGCAAGGATAGAGGCATATTCATACGCGAAATTCATATTGACAAGAGTATTGAGAACTTTTCGTTAAGAATATTGTTTTTTTTCTCGTATCTGCCAAAAAGTTAAATTTTCTTGTTGAGGTCAATAGTAATACTTAACAAAGATTCACAATACCGTTGTTCATATGGGTTTGGAATGTGAACATGCTACTATCCTTGATAAAAAAAATGAGCCTGTTTGATCGAGTTATAATGGAAATATTCAAATTTTTCTTTGGCTCAGGACTTACGGAACACTCTATATGTCTGAAAACGTTAAAAAACAGATTCGTATATGAAGAGAAAAAAAACTCGATTCATCTTGATTATTTTCAAGAAAAAATAAATATATTTAATCGCCTAATTCAAAACACTTTTAAATCATTTATTTAAGTTTGAAATTTTAAGGTTAATTATATTAAAGTACATATGAAATAAATTTCAAATATGTTTACATCCTTGAATTGAACTAATTAATCGAGTCGAGAATAAATTTTATTTTATTCGAAATAATTCTTAACTATTCAAGTTTGTTTTATTGTTTTGTTAATTAAAAAAAACAATAATGATAGAAGTGAAACAATTTATTTATATTTAATTTAATGTGCTAACTTAAATCCGATAATGTTTTATATAAATAATCATATTCGTATTCTTAAAATATTTTAATATTGATAATCATCTACTGTTACGAATCTTTTTATTGCTCTATATAAATCAAGTAAATCGATATAATGATAATAGACATTATATTTTTAAAAAAATGAAAAAGATTATGTATATAGAATAGAAATAAGTAATGACCATTGTTTAAATGCTTTGACAAAATCGATTTGTTCTTTATTAAAGATATTCTGTTGAATAAATAAATGATTTGATGATATATTAGTTAAATTGTTTGAAGATAATGATCTAATTCTATCTAATAAAATCATTGCTTGTTCAATTGAATGAACAATTGTTTTATTTAACCATTGATTATCAATAACTTGAGGTAATGAAAGAGTTAAGAAATAATTTTGATTATTTGTTAATAATAAATCTTTATTTGATTTAATTGAAACTGAACTATTTCGATGAGATTTTTTTCTTAATTGAAATGAATTTGAAATAAAAGATGATTGATTTGTTGAATAAGAATATTCAGATAAATTTGTTCGATTATTTTCAAATGATATTAATTTCCATTGTGGAATTTTTTCATTTAATTCACATTCAATTTCATCTTGATAAGTTGAAAGTAATGCTAATTGACCTTTATATGAAAGAGTTTCTCTTAAAGTTTTTCTTTTATTAATAATATTATCATCATATGATTGAGATAGATAAAGATTTTCAATATATTCTTTATATTTAATATTCTCTTGATCTTTTTTAATTAGTAATATTAATCTATGACGTTCAGTTAAATCTTTTCCAGACATATTTTCAGTATTTATTTCGAAAAATTTCTTTGGTATTAAAATAACACCTAATTTAATTAATGTTGGAACAAGATTTTCAAATTCATCAGAAACTAATTGACGAATATCATCGAATTTTTTTCGATCGATTTCTGATAATGATTCATTTAATTCAAGCGAACTTAAATGATCTTTATTAACTGATGATAATATGTAAGAAGGTGATGATTCAATTGATGATACTATTGAAGAAGTACGTTCACGTTCAGTTTGAGGTTCATGTTCAAGATGATGATTGGATGAAAATGAAGATTGACGTGAATGTATTAATGATGGTGATGAACTTAATCTTGTTGTTTGAGATAAATTATCATTATAAGATGTACGATAAAATCTTGAATCTGTTGTTAATGGTTGATGTTTATCATAATAAACAATATTTGATAAATCATTTGATATATTTCCTGATTGATTATTTCCATCAATTGAAACAGAATTTTGATTATATTTATTATAAATTGAAGATGAAACTTGTTTTGTTTGATTATTTTTGTTAATTGAAGTAAGATTTTGTGAAAATTGTACATGTTTATCATGATGAGAACTTTCAACCCATTGTTGAACAGCAACTGTTCGATTAAATAAATCATTTTCTTTTATATTCATATTATCAAATTTATTCGAATTATTTTCATTATTTTCCTCTTTTTCAATATATTTTGAAGAAATTCTTTTTGAATATCTGTATATATATGAGAAATAAAATAAAACTTATCAATAATAATAATAATAATAATCAAACAAAAAAATTACCGTTTATAATTGACATTCATTGCTGAAGATTTTCTATTTGCGTTCATTTTTTTTTCGTTTCAAATCAAATAATCTTTCTATATTCAACTAAATATGTTTTACAAGTCTTTTAATCATTGTTATTTATGCTCTTAACATATTTTCTTTTTTTAAAAGATAATAAAAAATGACGCATTATTTGAATAAGAACATCAAAAACATTTATTATCGAAATTCTTTGCTGTTGTCTTTTCTTTTTTCGGTGACAAAAAATTTTCCAAGTATTCTCTTGCTTATCTATTATAACAATGACTAAGTATGAGAATGATGAAACACTTATCATACTTATAAATTAATTTGAATAAATAATCATCAAACAAGAAACTAACAATTATCTATTCTTCCTTTAAAAATATAAATATTATCTTGATTCAAATCGAAACTATATCATACATATTATTATCCTTTCAGTATCATTATTAACTTATTTCATAGAATTTATACATCCTTATTGTTTTTATCAAATTTTCTCTATTTCATCATCTTAAACTATTTCAACAAATACAGTTTCGACTGTTGAATTTAATTCTGATTACGCGAAACTTCTGCAAGAAGCATTTCTGTGATGTGTTTTACTTTTATTCAATAATCTTAACAGAATTATTTATGTTCGGCAGATATTTCACTTTTATTTCATTATTTTATAAGCAATATTTAACATCAACCGATGAAAACTAAGAATAAAATCCGTAAGCGTTCTTAACAAAGACAGCCATAACGAATGTTTGTGTTTGAAGCCTTTGAAAAAATTTCTAAATATTGATTTGATAGTTAAACACACACATCAGTTGATCATCAGATGTCATATTTATCCAATAAGCTCAATTATCAAAAACCCAACATTCTATCAATACTTTCTCTCGAATTTTTTATGTATTACTCATTGACTTGTGAATTTGATCGAACAGCAGGATAGTTATTTTAATGAATATTTTAGTCAACTTTTGTGAAATTTATACAATGACTATGTGGATGTTTTAGCCTTTTATTTGCTTGGCTCTTCGACAATTGGTCCATACATGGCCAACAAATGATCATCATTTATGACTCTCATAAATATTAGGTAGAGCTCAATTGAGAGATGAGTCAGAGTTCAGCTTTAGTGAACAGCTAAGATCGATTAGCAACAACGATAAAGACAATGATGATGATCGTAATGTTGTTCATGATATTACTCTAGTTCGACTTGGTATTCCGCCACAACAGCTCTTAACTCGAATGATCGATAACAGCGCAAGACACTGTGTCAATCTGATGAATAAAGATTTTAAGGCGATTGGTGTCGGATATGCTCAAGGTGGCCCTTATGGAGCCTATTGACTTCAAAATTTTGGCTAGTGCTAAATATATCGCTGCTGTGTCATTACTACGAACACTTTTTCCTTTTATTTTCTTCGTTCTTTTTATCTAGCTAGTCTTACTAACACTTCATACCTACATATATTTTAACTTATTGAAATAAATCAAGTTCACTACAAAATAATTCTACCATTAATAAGCCGTGCAAATCTACATAGTCACATGTCCAGATGATTCTTGTTTCTATTAGAAAGATTTTGATAAAAAAAATATGCTAATATGTACAATTTCAGAGCATCGTTGGTCATTCAGTGTTCAGCTCTTTGGTTATATTATTTTGCATTTTACAGAGTGTCTCTACTATGGTAACTAATTTCCATCACATTTTCGCTCATTTTGTTTGTTACTAAGTAGTAAAGCAAACTATACGGAACGTTATAAGATTTACAAAGTGACAGTAGGAATACTTGTAGATATTAGAAGTTATTTCGCAATATTCAATTATCGTATCGTTCTAAGCAATTGTCAATGAAAACTATCATAGAACTACGCTGGAAGACGAAGACTTATCTTAAAATATGTACGATTTTTTTTCTGTTTTAATCAAGTTTTGATATTCGTTCGCAAACCCAATGTGAGCAATAATCGTTATGATATTCTGGAATGACTACTTAAATTGTTGCTTAGCCTATAATATTGTGTTAACAAATAAAAACTTTTCTATAAAATAATCGCTCCTTTTTTTCTATTTTTCATGGAATTTCAAAGAATATCTACGTAAAAACAATTGATAAGAAATGAGATTAATATCAATTTGTTTTCAGTGATAAAGGCAGATTTCGCCTATTTTTTAGAATTTGTTCAAATCGAATTTAATCTATAATTTTGTGACCGAAAAAAATCGATCTTAATCTGATGTCTTGCCAACTTTTTTTACATGGATACACTTTCGGTTCACGTCGATGTCGGTGTGAGAGAATAGAAGTGTCTCATTCTGTTATTTTCATCGCAACATATTTGTGATATGATCAATTAAGATTTTCAAGGCTTTTAGATATTCTTCTTGTCTTATCACCATATAATCCAGATAGAGATCTTATTATTTTTCCGGATAAATTCTTAGAAATCAAATTTTTCTTCATTCGAAACTATTTCGAACTCGCAGTTTCTTCGCCTAAACCAGATTTTCAGCAGAAAATTTTAATCTCGATTTATATATTATTCAATAAAACCGTTTTCTTTTCCTTTTTTGTCTTTCTTATTGTATATAGATCGTGCTCGACTTTTATAACTATAATTCAGTCAGAATTTTTCTTCTTCTTCTTCTATGCTATTTCTACGATAGGGTGCCTATTCTATTTTCTTCCATTTATATTCGAACTCCAATTAAGCAATTCGTGAAGTAGTGCCTTATGAAAACCAAAAGGACATAAAATATGTTTATATAATAGCTTTCTATTTTTACTTATTTACCCAATTGTATCCTGAATTATAATGTTCTTTAATTTGTGTAAACCGATTACAATAGATTAAAGATGAATAAAATTCAAATGACATCTATCTTGAAAGCTGAAAAATCCGATTAAAGTAGTCCCATTTTAGGGTGTGGGTCTGGGTCTGAGTCTGGTTATTTCCCTTTCTAAGCCACACTCCACCCATACTCACATCTTTAGTTTCACATACATGTCTTATTGAGTTCAAGGGATAATTTGCCTTATTCATATGATCAATGTATGGTTGAGGAAGTCCTCAAATGTATATCTAAAATACACTTCAAATCTAGTATCAACGTATTCGCTAATTAAAGTTCTTGCATACTATATATGATTGTGCTGGATTTCGTGAGAAAAAACCTTAGGGATCAAATCAGGTTATTATATACTCCTATCGTTTGACGAAAATTTGTTTTTACTATTAAGTATACTATTGGATGAGGATATCTTTGCTGATTTTGAATATGTTAGTTTATTTTGAAAGAAAAGCTCTTATTGTGAACAACTAGCAATACGAACCTACGTTTATAATATTTTGCTCTTTTATCGAAAGAATCGAGTTTTTCCTAATCATATGAAGACTAAAGCCAAAATATAAAATGGGAGAAATATCAAGCCTAGCGAGACTTGATGCTTTTGGCTTATTGTAGTTTTTCTAGGCTTGTTTGACTTGTGAAAGTTTCGCTAGAAAACTGTTCGAATATGTCAAAAACAATTTCTTTTCAAACTAACTCCACCAACTCTCTATATAGCTGCAAAAAAACCGGCAAAAAAATTTTTTGCTCAAATTTCGAATTGTCGACACCTTAGAAAAAACAAAAAATAATTCCACTCAATTTGAAAACATTGTTTATTTCTTCCATTTGTTGTGATTTTTTCAAGGACAGAAATAATGAATGAGTAGATAAATATCCTATTGAGTTTGGTTTATTTAACAGGAGATGAATCAAAGAACAAACTGAAACTTTGAAACATGTTAATAGGTTAAAACTAATGTTTTATTAACCAAAAGGAACAATCTAAAGTTTCATTTTTCTCGTTCGTTTTTGAAAAAATGAATTTTTGAACTGAATTATTTGCATGATTTTAAATGTTTTTTCAAAATAAATCTTTCAATTAAAAATCCATGAAATATGAAATTGAAACTGAACAATTGATTCTTTTCATAACCTATTCAAAAATCGATTAGAATTTTTTGACTTTTAAATAAATGAATTTAAGTTGTTAAACTTTTCTAAATTTCAAATATTCCTGTTTCATTATTTGATATTTTTCAAGATTTTTATATAGCAATGAACTGAAATCAATGGAGAAAATTCATAAAAAGTTTCATTGATAAATGAAAATCCAAAAAAAGAAAAACAAGAATTGTTAAAACTAATATTGATTGATTGAATTTCATTGATTTATACTGAAAATTATTTTTCGAAAAATTCTTCTATTTAAAAATCTTTATGAAAATAACGGCTTTCAAAAAAGAATTTTTATTTTTTTAAGAATTTATTTCAAATAAAACATACAGGAACTCGAAAAAAAAGCAGGATAGTTTTATATGAACAAGATTAAAATTTGTAAAATTGAATCAAGTAAAAAAACGCTAATCTTTATTTATTTCATTTATAAATAAAATATTTTGTTTTCTCTTTGAATTATTAATGCATCTGTCATTTCTATTTTTGTATTTCAATTCTAATTGATCA